ACACAGCTGCTAGTGCCAATGACAAAAATCAGAAATAATTTCTAAGTGAAGCTGGAAGCAGCCTTGACAGGAGATTCTTACCAAGACTGCAGAGGACTCTTGCGCTGACCTTCAGCCAAAAATGCTTTAACGTTGAGGGTGCAATGACCTCCAATTTCTCCCTTCTGGAAAAAGTCTTCTTTGAATCTAGTGCAAATTAGAGAAAGTCTATCAGCTTTTGTGCAACAGGAAAGGCTGAGAAGATGACAAACCCCATTATAAAGGGTTTCAGTGTCAGTCATGGACCAGCTCTTTTTGAGTCACATGTGTAAAACTGACTTCAAAAATAAGGCAGGAGGTGATTGCAGCATCAGTAGTAGGGGGGGGTTTATCCACTCTTCCAATTTGTAGAATTTAAATTTGGGATAAGCGAGATCCAGGTTCAGATCTCTCTTTAGACTCACTGTATCTAAAAATGCAATTCCTGGACTTGGTATAAAGGCACAGGAAAGGTCTTGGTGCCTCAGACAAAAACAACTGTATTTTGCACATCATCTGATCAGGAAAGACATGACTGAAGACACAGAATAGTCCTCCTCTCTTCCACCAGAAGGGAGGATTTCAATCACCCCTCATTATTCCACAACACTGAGACCTTAGGTTTTTTGAATAGTCCTCCTCTCTTCCACCAGAAGCGAGGATTTCAATCACCCCTCATCATTCCATAAAACTGAGACCTTAGGTTTTTAAATAACCTGCACTGCTGACAGCAATCAAGAGGTGTAAACCTCACCAGGACTTCAGGAACAAGTCTCTGCCCAGCAGTAAAGCCCATGGCAACATGCATAACAGCTTTGTTAAACAAATTCTCAAATCCTTTTCCCTGCCATCCCTTAACTATAACACAAGCAAATCACAGACCTGTCATGGTTTCTCTTTACAGTTCGTAAATCAATGTACAAGTTCGTTGCTCTGCAATGCTGAAGGTACTGGGAACAGGTCAGAGATGAATCTCCCTGTGAAGAAAAGAATGAGTGTTGTCAACAACAAAAACTTCTGTTTAAAAACAAGTGAGAAGGATCACATCTACCAGAAATACCTACTGGTGCTGCAGGCTTACAGTGGGTTTTCATCTCATTGAGCCTCTCTCGAACGTAACCGAAGTCAGCTTGTTTCCAAAATATCTGCTGGGCTGCCTCAATGTCACTTGCCCTGTGGTGTGAAGGACAGAGGGGAAAAAATCAAGGCCTGTTGCTCAATTCTAGCAATAACTTTAACAGATAACATTTTTTTCCACTGAAAGTGGAAGAGAAGAACCAGCCAGTTACTTCATTGGCATTTAATGCAAAACAGGAAGCACTTATCAGATGCATGGAAGTGAAAGCATCCGTGGCAATTTAAAGCTATTCTCCTATAAAAGGGTATGAAAATGTTTTTAACATTTTCTTTCCTCTGTTGTTAAGGCTAAGAAAGGAAATACACAGTTATTTTAGGAATCTCTATTCAAGCCTAAATCAGAATAATGAAAACATTCTGGCAGGAAGCATTTCCAGCAGTATTTTCTTCCTTAAAAAGCTTTAAAATCACATTGGAAGACCTATGTTATGTATAAACACACACATATATACACACAATTCTCCACACAGAATCATCCTGCAGTTCTAAACATCACAACAATGTTGACTTCTCAGCTAATATCACAGAGAGCACTATGCTCTTGTTTTCCCATACTGTACACTACACTTTTAAAACGAAACTTACCATCCAGTTTCAACATAATCACACACTGGGTAACTGAACCTGTTATCTGATCTGCAAGACTTCTCATAACCCCAGCAGGATTTTAGTTTCTTCAAGTGTTTCTGCAACACAGAAAAACTGAATCAGGTTTTGCAACAGCAAAATGGGAAATGACTTAAGTTACTTGTTTTTAAATGACCTCTTGCTCATAAATCTTGAATGAAAGGCTTTTGGTTTGGAACACCAAGAGAACACCAGATTCTTCATGCACAGCAGAGGCTCCAAAGAGGACACAAATGCACAGCAATGTTATCCTTGTCTGTTCTAGGACAAACCCTTTTCCTGACTAATTGGCAAGGAGACCAATCCATCATCACCTTTAACTGCTGCAACTCCAAGAACAAACCACCTCAGTATGTGAACAAACAGACAGAAAAAGCAAACTTACTTTATATGGGCAAAGAGCATCCTGTTTACAGATGTCAGCAATGTGCTGGTTGTTGTGCAGAAAGTATGGAATATGCTCATCTGGCAAGTTGATAGCTTTGTAGCTATATAATGGTTTTTTTTTTGGATTTTCGGCTTGGGAATTTGCCAGAATTTCTTGCAGTAGCAATCCAAACACAAGCAACATAAACATGGCAACCTGTGAGTTCTGTAGGTATTAAATAAAATAAATCAATTAAAAAGACACTTCACATATCTGCAGGATTTCAAGCCCACAAGGCAAAATTCAGTCAGAGCTGGTCAAACACTCCAAGAATCTGTACTTGCATTTCTGAGGTGGTTTCTTTTTCCTATGGAAAGTAAACTTTCACTGAGAGACTAGACTGTACAACCTCAGGATTATCTTGGAATCATTAGTCATTGAGGGTTATTACGCACTACCAACTCCCAGTCAAACTAAAATGGGTGTGTTTACTTTAGCTAAATCCCAAGGGATCCTGAGAGTTCAATGTGGAAACTAAGTATAGAGCATGTAATAGCCAGTCAGAAGGGAGAAAGTGTGGAACTACTGGGGGGAAGGGTGAGAAAAAGCAGGAATTTCAGTTTAAAAATAAGTATAAAGATAATACATTCTCCACTTTGAACTGATCATTAGCTGAAGGAAAACTATGCAGTCAGAAATAAATGGTCATGGTTCTGTTTCAGGATGCTTTAGTGCTTAACATCACACTGAAGAAACTTGACTACTGAAGTATATACTTAACATATAAAAGTTATGTATATAATTATACATATATAAAGTGTGTGTATATATATACACACTTTAACTACAAGCCCACACATATCTGTATACCCTAAAGTTGACTGCATACCTTTCTGGTAATAAAACCTTCTGATCAAACACACCTGCTTTGAACCATTAAACTTCCTAAGGAAAAAAAAATTTATGGTCTGTATCTAAACCCACCTTTTGCGGCATCATAATTTGCTAAAATTTGCATGCTTGCTTTCAACCAAAGCCTTTAGCAAAATTCCTATGGTACAAGCAGTTTTACCTGTTTGGTTTGAGGAGAACCACTTCAGATTTCCCAAGTCCAAAAACCTGGTATGGGGGGGGAGGAAAGTGGAGTTAGATAGGTCCTGTAAAAGGAGATTTCCTCAAGATATTGTCAATGTCTTTAGACACATTCCCAGCAATGAGAACAGCCTTCCACACCCTGGAACACTGCTGACCCGTGGGGATACTGAGGTCTCTATAAGAAAACATTCCCTGTGCTACCCATGGGATGAGAGTACCTAGGGGGGGATACACACCCATCACAGCTCAAAGCCAACATCATCCACAATAGAGCAGCTCCTGTCCCACCCTGGGGCACTGACTGAGGGTCTGTCACTCCAGGAGGGTGTTCAACACCTAGTGACGTGGTGGATATAGAACTGGAGTCAGAACTGGAATCAGAATCGGAATCAGAGCTGGAGTCAGAACTGGAGTCAGAATTGGAGTCAGAGCTGGAATCAGAACTGGAGTCAGAATTGGAGTCAGAGCTGGAATCAGAACTGGACTCAGACCTGGAATGAGAGCTGGAATCAGAATTGGACTCAGAGCTGGAATGAGAGCTGGAATCAGAGCTAGAGTCAGAGCTGGAATCAGAATTGGACTCAGAACTGGAATCAGAGCTAGAGTCAGAGCTGGAATCAGAATTGGACTCAGAACTGGAATCAGAACTGGAGTCAGAGCTGGAATCAGAATTGATTCAGAGCTGGAATGAGAGCTGGAATCAGAGCTAGAGTCAGAGCTGGAATCAGAATTGGACTCAGAGCTGGAATCAGAGCCGGAGTCAGCCTGTGGCTCGGCTGGACGCGGAGCCCGAACCAAGCTTATCATGCCTGTGCTGGACTCGGTGCCAAACGCAGTGAGCCCCGCGCGGCGCTGCCAACCCATCCCACACCGCACCGGGCACCGCACCGAGCACAGCACCGCACCGGGCACCGCACCGGGTACCGCACCGAGCACAGCACCGTACCGAGTACAGCACC